TTAATTAAAAAATCAACAACAATTAATTATGGAACAATAATATAGACATTAAAACCAAATTATTTTTCTTTCTCGAACCGAGAGATCCATAAATCGGGATCCTACACACAAAAAACTACACTTAACCAAAATTTAAAAAAACACTTAAATAATATATATATATATATATAAAAACAATAAGCTACAAATAGCAAACACCATAAAATATTCTATTAACAAATCAATCTTTTAGTTTTACCACAAACATAAACATAAACTACAAAAGAAAAAGATGGTATATGTACTATATGTCTTGATAATCTAGAAAGACTAAAAAAATTATTATTTTATTTTATGGTCATAAAGTTCATCGTAAATATATTTCTGAATGGTTATATTGCAGAACAATATATTCTTATCATCGAGATGAAATAATATAATATTTTTAAATTATTTTAATTAATAATTAAATTCTTAATAGTTTTACATATTAGTATTAAACAAACAGATTACAATATAATTATTATCATTATATATAACATCAAAATATAATAAATCCATGCAGCGTGCGGACCTCTCCTAGTACTTGATATTACAGAACTCATTTATTTGACATTAGACAGCTTAACTAATATAATTTTATCATTCTATTGGTTCGAATATTTTGATTATAAATCCCTAAAATAAACGAATGTATTGTTAAATCAGACCACTAATAACTCCAAACACAGATGGATTAGAGATTTCAGACTTAGATATCGTATATACATCTTGTGCTTAAATTAACACATATGAATTATGAGTGGTTAGACAGAGAGTTGAAACCTCTTCTACACCATTCATGGTTCTAGTATTTTGATTTAAAGTGCTAATAGCAGGACTGCATGAGTTATATTTCAAGATTTACTTGACATTACACAATTACATGATTTAATTAATATAAGTTTATTATCTTATTGTTCCAAGTATATTTGAAGTGCTAATAGGAGAAAATATTTTTTGGGATTTATTTTACTATACACAATTTGTTTACTTTACACTATTTAATTAATATAAGTTTATCATCATGTTAGTTCAAGTATTTTGATTTGAAGTGCTAGTATGAAGAAGTGTTATTACACAACTTAATTAATATAAGTTTATCATCCTATTGGTCTGAGTATATTATTTTTTTTGTCAACAAGGACATTTTAGAACATACTTATTCTCCATCAATGGAGAAAATGTTTACAAAATGCAATAATAAAGCCAACCGACTAAAAAATCCGATGCAACAACAGCATATTGGAAAGCTAACATACAGAAGATAGGAGCAAACATAACACTTAAACCACCAAAGATATGGAGAAGTCATCTAAAGTCGATACCAATAGTGCTAAGAAGTGAGATGCAGCACTGGAACTTAGAGCGCATAACTAGCGAAACTGTAACACCAAGTGCAGAGATAAGTTAAAGATAGATGGAAAGAGGAGAATAACAAGGCTTAGAGAGCCTGCTATCTCGTTCAAATCCATTCCCAACAAGAGGGAGATAACTAGGACATCTGAGTCCGTTAACAATTGTAGCACAATAAAACCTGCAAAACCTGACTCGTAAAGTGCCAAACGAAGAGCAAGGGCTTCTTGAAACATCAGCTGCAGAGATGATTGGGAGTCTTCATTGAGCTTGGATGGAAACATAGTGAGGTCCCAAAGTCTATCAACGACAGGACAATGGAGGAAGACAGTAAATCCATCCCTCCAATGGCCAAAACTCTTGCATGTCTCATTCCCTAAAGATCCTGAAACAACAGATAATAATGCCAAGGACCCAATAGTTTGAAATGAAACTAATGGGAATTCTTGAATACCATCCTCATAATAAGGTAATAGATAGCTTAAAGAAAGCATAAAATCCTCATACTGAGGTAACATGAGCCTCATACTGAGGTAATTAACGCCTGATAGAAGGTAATAACCAACAAAAAGCAACTTGTTCCAAATGGTCACTGAGATCAAACCTTTTAAGGTGACGGGGGTGGAGAACTGGTCCAACGGATCTGATGGGTCGGGAGGCTCTGGAGGGTAAGGAGGAGCGAGAGCCCTGAGCAGATCTGGAGGAAAATTCCTCCTCGGCGGATCTGGATCTTGCAGAGACAGTAGAAGAGGACCACCACGAACAGCGTAAGGCTTTTCTGGACGCACAGGGAGCGGTAGAGTCGACCGAGGAATTGACGGCTCCGATAGAGAGAAAGACAAGCTCAGGAACTCAGTCCTCAAAAGCACCACAAAGCCCATTGTTAATCCCGTCAAATAGAGGTTAATTCTGTCAACCACCGAGCACTGAACTAGAGATGGGGTAGTGATTGGTGACGGATCTGGATCTGGAACTGGGAGAGGGAATAAGAGCGGCGGAAACATCAAAAGAGCAGGCTTTAGATATCCCATGGGAGAGAAGAAGAGAAGAGAGAAAGAAAGACGAGGGAGAAAGACGAAATTCTCGCTGGTGGGTGTGAGGCCACACTGACGGTGGCCCAAAACCCTAATATCTTAAGTTGTCGCCAAGGGAGAGAGAGGTTGGTTGATGAAAATATTATGACACCTTGGTCTGAGTATCCTCTACCTATTAATTGAGAATGTAGTTTAATAAAAAATGCTGATTTGTTTTAATCTGATTGGTTAAAATCATTTGTCTACCTTAATTAAATGTGATATGGAAATGATGATGTGTAATGATGATGTAATTGTAACATAACATTTACTAACACATGTGGTTGATGACATGGCAAAAACAATTTTTGTGATATTTCCATAAATAAAAAATAATAATTAGATGATAATATTTAATGTACTAATAACTAAATCTGGAATGATTCGTCGGATGCACTACGAATGGCCTGATATTATTATTCATCTATATGAGTAATAGTAGATAAATTTTAGGCTGAACGTGATGATTTTAATACACACACATATATATATATATATATATTATAATACTATGGATAATACTATATTATATACCTATAAAATTTACTATAGCTCTATCGTGGACCACTGTGACTTTCCATATGTACACATATCTACATATATATTACAATACTATATTCATATGGAATACATACACATATGTTTTCATATACTTCACAGTAGGCAAAATTATAATAGCAAATCACATTGATCAAATTGTTTACCTAATATTTCATATTTTTTGTAAAGGCGGTGCTCCATTTACGTGCACATATGTTTTCACATAGTCCAGTTGGTAAAATTAAAATAACAAATAAGATATTATTGTGATCTTCTGTAGAACATTCAAAATTGAAAATTAGTTTAGTTTAAAAATAATAACAAATATAAATATAAGATTTCGATTTAATAATCCTCTATGTTATTTTTATTAACAAACGTAAGATATCCTAAAAAATCAACGTGCATCTAATGAAAAACCAAAATTATAATCCTCTACATTATTTAAAAATTTTAATGTCCATTTAATAATAATCAAAAAGATCCATATAAAATCACGTTCATGCCAAATAACTACGTAATAAAAAAGTTAAATACTCGGGTCCTTATATAAGAAAACATCACAATATACATGAATATCAAACAAATCAAGCTCTAACTCAAAGTGCGGGCATGGCAATTCTACCAATCCATTTACCTAAATGGAATATGGCTAAAATGAAACTTGAAGGTTGGATAGACTCCAATCATGAGTGTAATGAAGTAAGGTTTTATCGCTACACTGAATTTCCAAACAAATGGATTTGGCATAAAAAAATTAAGAAGTGGCTCCCTTGTCTGCGCAACAGAAAAAATAATGTTTTCTACGATATCAGCCTTCCAGAAGTTTTAGAAGAATATGGTGAACTTTTCTATCTTAGAATGTTACTAAATGTTCAGAGAGGACCAGTATGCTTCAAAGATATCAGGACAGTAAACAGAGTTTTATATCTAACCTTCGCTGAAACATGTCTTGCAATATGGTTAGTTGAAGCACTTGATGCTTAAGTAGAGATGGTCTTGCAATTATTTGTAGAGTCTACTTAATAAAATTATAATTAGAAAAATCGCACATATGAGTAGATCGAGATCAACAATGACAGAATCCTTGAAGAAATAATGCTTTAAATTGAAGAAGATTATAGGAAGATAAAGAAAATGAAAAATGTTTGTTCCAAGAAAAAAGACAGAGAAGATAAAATTTGCAGCCTAATCAGCAAATCCGAAGAATGTAACCAACTATCCATGGGTCTGACTCATTTGACCCTCTAACATAGTGGGTCAAGTTTTACAAAACCTGTTCATGAAAAAATAATTTTTGTGTTTTCCAAATTTAATTATTATTTTTCAAATCTGTCTCAAAATATAAATGAACTTTTTATTATAACAAAATATTTACATAAAATTAGATAATATTTTAGTATTTAATTTAAAGTCTTATAATTCAAAACACTAACTTTGAGTTTCATAAACTACAAAAAATTAAAATCTCTAAGACAGATTTAAGTATTGTATATAAATAATTACATTTTTAAAATTGTTCATGCCCGCACATGCGTGCGGACCAATATCCTAGTATTAATATAAGTTTATAAATCTTAAAAAATATTTTTTCTCTACTAACACTTCAAATCAAAATACTCAAACTAAGATAAACTTATATTAGTTAAAATGTCTAATGTCAAGTAAATAAGTCATATAATATCAAGTATATCCCAAAAAAATAGTTTTTACTATTAGTATTTCAAATCACAATAAAATAATATGTTTATGTATGTATAATAATCAATGTTAGTTTTATTTTTTTAAAAATAACTTATGTTGTCATATTGCGTTATTTTACTATATAAATATATGTTGTGAACCATTTGCTTTATTAGTGTCCTCAATTTCTCTGAGGATATAATTCAGGAAAAGGGTATAACGCTTCTTCCAAGGACTATCGTTATCAAAAATTTATCTGCGGTGAAGAACAAGTTACAGCAATGCAACAAACGTGGATCCTATAGTTAGGGGTACCCTTCTTCTTGACTTGTGGTCTCCACGCTAGTCAATTTCCGCAATGATATGAATAGCTCTGGTGTATGTTGTGCTACATGATCCTTCTCTCCTCCTAAAACATAGTTCGTGCTTGGGATTTTGACGTGTTATTTCGTTGTATGTTGTTCTTATTTGATCCCTTGTAAACTCTATCATGAAATGATTCAAGAAACCCCAGTAACCAAAAAGAAAATTAACTTTGAATCATTGTACTACTTGTTAAAGTAAACTAACAAAAGTGAATTTATATAAAGAAAATCCCTAAAAATCAACTTGATGCTTATAAAAACATGAGGCTCTCATAATGATCTGAAACCGTCACAGAAAAATCTTGTGCTCGCTTAAATTTGGAAACTGGCCGTCCTTCAATTATGACACTTCTCATGCTTTTTTCCCCAAATTGTAATAGCAAAGACAAAAAGGATCAGGCAATTCTTTTGGAACCAGACAAATCTCGCCGTTATGAAAGGTATCCATGACCTTGAAGTCAAGGCCAGCAGCAGATTCAGGAAGATGAAAAGTGTTGATAGACCATTCCTTTTTCTCAGCATCTTCCAGAGTCCATAATCTAAAGGTGCCCTCACGAGGATTCTCAACCACACCAATTTTTCCTCCTTAGTTGATCAAAGTTTTATCCGTACGAGCCCACACTGTAGAAAGCCACATATTCTCATAACCTATTGGTACAACTTTGCTTAGTACTTTGCCTAACATCCAAGCTTTAAAGGACTGGGAAATCGGTGATATTGAACGTTTCAAGCCTAATATATAAACTTTAAAGGTTAGGCAACGAGGCTACCAGAATCTCTTCTCCGTAAAAGTCTGAAAAAAGCAATGAGGCTGCAATATTCATGTGCCGGTTCCTGAAATCTCAATAGGTGATGATTGAGTACCAAACCCTGGAGACGCTATTGAAATTTTACAGGCAACCTTCATAGTGTATTGATCTGGAGATCCAGAGGAATGTAGACCGGTCTCATCGTATAGAGATTGGTGCTTCAATGCAAATCCTTACTTAACCTAACAGGATTACAGGAATTTGCGAAATTTCCTTTCTATTGTTTTATTTTTGGATATTTTAAATTATAATATTTTTGCCTTCAAAAAAGAAATAAAAAGAGGGAAATACGAAGACAGAACCGAATTTAAGGTCAAAAGTACACAAAACACACATAAGTCAACCAGATCCAGAGTTCGTCAGTAAAAAAAAACCTGCAACTGGTGTGGTTGAGGTTTTCTTTTTTCAAAGGAAACAAAGTAAGAAACAGCAAATGACTAAATTGTTTTTTTTTAAGGTGGTACAGCAAACTTACGCTCAGTACTCTTCCTGTTGGTATTCTCCTTCTTCCTCGTCCTCGTACTCGCCTTCTTCATCTGCAGTCGCATCTTGGTATTGCTGGTACTCTGAGACAAGGTCGTTCATGGTGTGGATGAGGTTTTCTTTTTTCAAAGGAAACAAAGTAAGAAACAGCAAATGACTAAATTGTTTTTTTTCAAGGTGGTACAGCAAACTTACTCTCAGTACTCTTCTTCCTGTTGGTATTCTCCTTCTTCCTCGTCCTCGTACTCGCCTTCTTCATCTGCAGTCGCATCTTGGTATTGCTGGTACTCTGAGACAAGGTCGTTCATGTTGCTCTCCGCCTCTGTGAACTCCATCTCGTCCATTCCTTCACCCGTGTACCAATGCAAGAAAGCCTTCCTCCGGAACATAGCCGTGAACTGCTCGCTAACACGCCTGAACATCTCTTGGATCGACGTTGAGTTGCCAATGAAAGTGGAAGCCATCTTCAGACCCGTTGGTGGGATGTCACAGACCGTTGATTTCACGTTGTTGGGGATCCACTCAACGAAGTAGGACGAGTTCTTGTTCTGCACGTTCAGCATCTGCTCGTCGACTTCCTTCGTGCTCATCTTGCCACGGAACATCGCTGAGGCTGTGAGGTAGCGCCCGTGTCTTGGGTCAGCAGCACACATCATGTTCTTGGAGTCCCACATTTGCTGAGTGAGTTCAGGGACCGTGAGGGATCGGTACTGCTGAGATCCTCTTGAGGTGAGAGGAGCAAATCCAACCATGAAGAAGTGAAGACGAGGGAAAGGAATCAGATTCACAGCAAGCTTACGGAGGTCGGAGTTTAGCTGACCAGGGAATCTCAGACAGCATGTGACACCAGACATTGTAGCAGATATCAAATGGTTCAAGTCACCAACTGCATAAGAGAACGAACAAATATGTGTGAGTTAACTCCTTAGCCATTAACACATACACATCAATCAAAAATGCACAATAATAGAGCTTAAACAAATCACCAAGGCAGTCGATATATTATATAGCCACTGGGTTTTGAATATCCCCTATGTTACAAGATGTAGCTTGAGGATTTATTCTGGTGATGAGATCAATACAGACAACCAGAGAGTAATATACTGGGCCAATAACTCAAAAGCCAGAAGGTGAACAGACCACTGAATACAGTAATAAGACTAGCTACACGAAACAGTGAGCAACATCAAATTGCGACACAAAACAATGAGCCAAATCAAGTTCACCAGCATCTAGACAAAGCATATCGACTACAGATCAAAAGGCGTCTCACAGAGAAAGAAGAGAAATCAACATATAGGAACAGCAACTATGCGAGGACTTACAGCTTGGGGTTGTGAGTTTCAGAGTCCTGAAGCAAATGTCGTACAGAGCCTCGTTGTCAAGAACCATGCACTCATCTGCATTCTCAACAAGCTGATGAACAGACAAAGTAGCGTTGTAAGGCTCAACGACAGTGTCAGAGACCTTCGGTGAAGGGAACACCGAGAACGTAAGCATCATTCGATCAGGGTACTCCTCACGGATCTTGGAAATCAAGAGTGTTCCCATGCCAGATCCAGTTCCTCCTCCCAATGAATGGCAAACCTGAAACCCTGCAGAGCAAAATCCTCACAGTTTCAAACTCCGGTACAGTGGATAATAGTTTAACGAAAGCATAATCGGCCTCAAAACCTTGAACAGATCTAAGAGTATTTACCTTGGAGGCAGTCGCAGTTCTCCGCTTCCTTACGAACAACGTCGAGGACGGAATCGATTAGCTCGGCTCCTTCAGTGTAATGGCCCTTCGCCCAGTTGTTACCGGCACCGGATTGGCCGAAAACGAAGTTATCGGGACGGAAAGTCTGGCCGTACGGGCCAGATCTGAGGCTGTCCATGGTTCCAGGCTCCAAATCCATGAGAACAGCGCGAGGGACGAATCGACCACAGCTAGCTTCATTGTAGTACACGTTGATGCGCTCGAGCTGCAGATCTGAGTCTCCAGTGTAACGACCGGTTGGATCTATGCCGTGCTCGGCGCAGACCACTTCCCAGAACTTGGCACCGATCTGGTTACCGCACTGGCCAGCTTGGATGTGAAGGATCTCACGCATTTTCGGTAGATGAAGTGGGACGGAGACGACGCTGGGGATTTCGCCGGATCCGGGATCGAAATCGGGAGGAGGGAGAGATCTAGGGTTTTCTGAAGTGAATAAGAAAAGAGTGGAAAGAGTGTGAAGAGGATGGGTTTTTAACTTTTTGCCAAGCAGAGGTAAGTAAAGTAACAACGGGTATATAATTTTCTTTATGTTTTACCTTTATTATTTCCCTAAATATCTCTGACGCGCCGATTTGTGTTTTTTTCGAAATTTAAAATTGGTCCGTTCTCTTTGTGTAGTGTGACCCCAATTTTCAAAATTTATTTTTTTAAAATTTCCCCATCCCTCTATATTATTAATTTGTTTTTCTTTGTCAGGAACTCAGGAAAATGAAAACAGCAAACCTTATTATAATTTTGGAATAATTTTAGCCCATATATTAAAGGTGAAAATACTAGAGGAGCCAATAACATCACATAAGTTGTGGAATCAAGAAGACATAACTCAACAACACCAACGAGGGAAGACAAATATTACAATTTTTTGCTGATGTTTACAAAAATTATAATATATTTTGTGAACATATATACATGCTCACAATAGTAAAATATCTTGTAGGCGATTTCAAACACAAGAAGCATAAGGTTATGCGACAAACAAAATATAAAATATAATTAAAACTCATATATAGGTTTCTGGATGACTATCCTCATACCGTCATACTGTTTTAAGCAGTGAAAAATCTTTAGTTGGATATCATATTTTTGTATTAGTGTTGTGGTGATGAACATTGTTTAGTAGAAACACAAAGGTATCTTGTAAAAGAAATATCGAATAAAGAAATTTCTTTGCAGCTTCAATAATTAGTAATCCTGCATTGAGTAAAACTGTTAGCATGATTAACGTTTGCTCCATGGATACGCTTTCATAATGATAAGAGAAGCCGCAGTAACATGCATTATGCAAAAAGATATACATGAACTTTAGAATATACTATGGTTTTGTTGTTCTTAGCTTCTCATGTGACATTGGTGTTCCTAGACGAAACAAAGTTATACAATAATATTTGGAATTTTTATGAGATATTCATATTTGGCAACTGGAACTGGAAGATTATCACTACAAAAAAAAATTATTATTGTTACAAAATTTTATGTCATAATATATAATTTTTTAGTCACAAAAGTTATATTGTGACGATAATATCACAAATTATTAAAAGTCACAATAAAAACGTCACAATACATTTTAGTCATAAAAACATCACAAACGTACTTTGCTCACTCTAAACCTTAGAGCCGTCATACTCACCAATTATTCACCGTAATCGTTGTCGAATTGCCGTCATGCAACTTTTATTGGTTTTTTCACCCAAAAAAAAAACTTTCACTGGTCTTTGTGCTTTTATCTATCTCCCAGCGATTGAACACCATTTGAGGACAAAGACTTATCCAGAGAAGAAGTTACAGGAAAGAAAGAGAAAAGAAGAAGAAGTTACCAGGAAGAAAGAGAAGAGAACAAAAAGGAAAATATTTATGATCTTTAGATTTGATTTTATCAACAGTAGATAATAAAAAAAAAAGTATTCCCATCTCTTTAAATTAACCACAAAAAATCAATTTTTTTTATTCTCTTATTTTTTTATGTCCTAGGCTTTCCAGTTTTTTTTGTATCATCAGTTTTTTTTCTGCATTTTAAAGAGTTTAGAGTTCATAATTTTGGACCTGAGATCCAAGTTTTTGGATTTAGAATTTAATTATTTTGAGACTGAAGATATAAATTCTGATATCGAATTAATTAGTAATGAATCTGAATATTATTATTTTACACTTTACTATATTATTTATATTATTAGGATAAAACCTATATAAAGTAATACTCAATTTATTAATACATTGATAAATTAATATTTTTTATAAGTTCCAAAATTAGTTTGTCACTCAAATTACATGTTTCTAAACTAATTATCACTATAATTAATTTGAAAAGTTTAAAATCTCATGATCCCAATATTATTAATTTATAAAGATTTTACTGTATTATGTAATATCACAAAATAGTAACAATTATGTCATAATATTATGACTAAACTTAAAAGTCACAAAAAAGTAACTAAGTGTGACAAGATACTTACAAAATATTGGTAAGTATGAACAATTTAATTTTAGTTACTAAAATCGAATAATATAGTAACTAGATTGTGTTACAAATCTGTAACAATATTTGTGATTATATATTTTATAACAAATTCGTCATTGTTATTGACAAAAATTTGTTACTTTCGATTATGTCATAATATTATGACAAAATTGTAACATTTTTACTACCAAATAATTTCGTCACAAATTCATATGTAAATTGTCACAGTATTATGACAAAACAATTTGTCACAAATTTTTTGTCACAATATTCATTTTTTTTTGTAGTGTATGTTTCGAAATCCCCAATACTATGTATGTAACTTGTTCTAGAAGTAAAAAAAAAAGAATAACAAGAAGCTGGAATAAGTTTTTTGTACTCCTAATATATCGATCGTTTGAACGAGAGAACAAATGATTACATTTGACATGATCACATAATGATTCAATTGCTGAATTTGTGACAGATTGTAATTTTTTAAACTAATGAATGAAAGAACTAAGCAGTTGACTAAATTGTTTTTAAGCAACCTTTTTCTCTCTCTTTTTGGCGATAGAGTTGGCGACTTAGGGTTTTTTCATCTAGTGCCACCGCCGGTGTGGCCTCACGCCCACCGGTGAGAAATTCTCCTTTTCCCCTCCTCTTACTTTCTTCCTTTCTCTTATGGTTTGCGTTAGCCCATGATTTGGTTCCGCCGCTCCTCCTTTCTCCTCCGAATCTAGATCCAAAACCGTCGCCAGTCGCCCCTCCACCCTTAGATCTGTTCTCGGTGGTTGCCAAAACTGACATATCTTCGCTGGAGTTATCGAAGGGCTTTGTGGCGCTTTTGAGGACGAAACTCCCAAGCCTATCCCTCACTCTGTCGCAGACGTCAGATCCTCCGCCGATAATGCTGTCTCCAGCGCTCTTGGCCGTTGTGTGTGGTGGACCCCTTGTGTCGACTCCAGCAGATCCTCCGGACCCACCAGATCCACCTGATTTGGGCTCTATCGAGGTTGCTCCAAACCTTTTGTCGCCTTCTCCTGGACCTGCTTCTGTGCCCCTCAAGTTTTGTGAAGGTATTGTCTCTTTTCGAGCCTATAACTTCTCTGAACAATCGGCTTCAGTTGGGAATTTGCCTTTCTTTAGGCAGCTTTTATCTCTTTATGAGGATGTTTCTGGCTCTATTGTCATATGGAATGTTTCTGGTGATAGAACTCATTTACCTCTTCTTGAGGCCATTAGGATGTGCGTTTGCCTATCATTACCTCAATATGAGATTGTGATAGTTTGGGGAATTTGTGAACATCTCAGCCGTTTTTCCTTTATGGAGATTCAAAAAGCGGTGTTGGTTTTCTACTGTAATCTCTTATATCATTGGTCTTGGCTGTTCGATTTCTTCCATAGACAAGTTTACTCCCGTAAGGAGCTGTTCGATTTCTTTAGTGCCTGTTTAGGTGGTTTGTATAATTTTGCAGAATTTGTGATGTTTAAAAGTCTCGAAGATGTGGAGGAACTCATTGATACCCTCCCGTGTTCTTTCGCTGACTGCTTTAGAGACCTCACCTTGCTTCGATCCAAGCCCAATGAAGACTCTCAATCATCCCGAAAGCTAATTCTACAAGGTCTAACCACTTCTAACCGCAGCTGTGTTATCCCACCCTTGGTTCCGGACTTTGAAGTCCTCATGTTTACCCCTTGCTTGGGGTTGGATATGTATGAGATTGCAGGTTTTTTTTTTGATATTAGAAGCCTTGTTACTTTCTACTATCCGCTATCTTTGCTTTTTACTTACTGTCATTTGAACTATGCAGCTGCTTGCAAATGTTATTTTGTATCACTATTTCCTTTTGGAAGACTCAGTTTAAGTTAATGAAAAGCAGTTTGTTGACCAAAAAAAAACTAATGAAGCTTTAACAAAAACCTTTTGGCAGATTATCAAAATTTACATATCCATTCGATTCCGCTCCTAATAATTATTATACTTTGTTTGATCATGATCAATTTACGTCTTATGTGGTAATATAAACTTTGCCGGCGACGTGCTTGTAGAAGTCACTTATTAATCTATATCACATACGTTTTTCAGAAGTTACAACTTAAAAAGACGAACACCTGGTTTCATGTCGATCTCTCTCACGTTAGATCGTACGTATCAGTGAGCTCCTTTACATGTTCATTATACTCTCTCCGTAGTTTTGCCTGTTTCGTGGCTTATTCTCTTTTACGTTTTCTGGTTTATAAATATCCTTTAGCTGAACCAGACTGAAAAAAGTATTTGGATATTGCATTGGGATTAATTGCTACAGCCAGCTCCCAAAATTATCTTCCTCGAGTTAGAGAATCAGTTAATTGCAAAAACACAGATTTTTATGAATGTAAATCTACTTCAGTTTTTTTTTTCTAAACATACGGCATCTTCTTCTTTGAGAGAATTTATAAAAATATTTACTGAAAACTAAAATATAAGATAACGGATTTTCACATGATCTAAGCTATGAACAAATCAATATCATTAATTTTATCTACTTCAAAGGGATCTGCCATTCAGAGGGATCTCACTAAAAAAGTAACCTTCAGAATCGCATACATCTATTTTTCGGTTCTTCACTTGCATCGCATATAAATGATTTTAAATGGCTTTCTGATATAAGATCAATGGTATGATCTTATATAACCGGTATGGTGAAAGAACTAAGCAGTTGCTCACACGGCACTCTCTACTTAGATCTGGTACAATGATGATGGAGTGGTGAGATGAGGGGTCAAGTAATTAGCCAAGTGGCTCTCTTTACTTAACCAAAGTGATGAATAAACGGACAATGGATCGACTGACACACAAGATTGATGGTATGATATTGATAAGTCGGTGAACTCAAGAATCAAGGGGTAGCCGCACAAGACTCGTTGAACTCGGTTTAGGATAAAAAGAAGTTTGCTATTTATTGATAATAGGTAAGAACATAAACTACAATATCGTATACAGGGGCAGGGGCAGACACATGAAATAATTTAATATGAGGCACAATTTATTCAAATATTAAATATAAATAACTAATATATATTATAATTATAGAAAATATTAAACACATTATTAGAGTTTAATATTTTATTTTTTGAAATTTTAAATTTGAGCTAAACTAAAAAATACAATTGTTTTGGTAAAAACTAACATAAATCGTATATTTCACATAATAATTATTTTTTTAATAAAATAATATTTTTATTTTTAAGATTATTTTATATATATTAAAAAAATAATTAAAAGGTATAAAAATTGTAAATCTAACTAAAATGGTAAATCATGAAAGCACTAGGAATCACCTGAGGAATGACTGAATGAAGATAAATGTTTTCTCATGGGGAAAGAAAGTAAAAAAAAAACAAATAAAAATAATCGGTATGAGAATTGAACCCTGGTTGAGAAAGATAAAAGTGTACCAAAAAAACAAACTCATCTGTATTCATTTTAATTACTTACTAGATGTTTGATCCGCACGCCCTCGTGGGTATATAATTTTTGAATATATGTATAAATATAAAAATATTTATATATCTGAGGGGGGGTGGTTATTATAAATTCAAATTATATAACAAAAAATTAATTTGTAATAATTATAATTATCTAAAATAATGAAATTTATTAAAAAGATGATGATTTTATCCATTTTGTGAATGATTTTATATAGTTTTTTTTTCATATAGTGGATATTCATATGTTCAAATGATGTATTATATTTAAATTTTCAATATGATGATTTAATATTTTTTTTTGTTTTTGTCAAAGGTTTATTATTCATTATGTGGATTATATATATATTGACATAGTATTTTGTATGAATAATTAATGTTCATATGATACGAAATTTATGATTATTTAATTATATAGCAGGGTTAAATATGAATTTATTATTTTCATACAAACTTATTATTCTACAATTATTTTTTATATACATAAAGTTGAATTAATAACATCATAATAAAGTTATTCAGTAAAATTGATCTTTTAACTTTTGGGCCGAAACTAAAACCTGGGTTATATGTATAACCTATTTTGGACCACATGTGGCTCGTCTCCTGGTCCAAACCCTACAAAAAACCAAAAAATCTCATCTTTCCTAACTCTTCGCTTTCCTAAATCAAGTTTTGTCTGAATCGTGCGAGAAACCACAAAAAATCTTTGATCTCCTCTAGATCCTGTTCGAACAATTCACAACACTCGACACTTACTAAAAAATGTATTCATCAACTTGCACTCATCAGGAGAAGATGATAATTGAAGAATCATGACTGAAAAAAAGACGGGAAAGTTCTGAAGGTTCACCCAAAACAAAGTAAGTTCTACATATGATTGAATGTTACAAAGTATAAAATTGTTTGATTTAATGCGATATATGGAAACATCGAGAGTTTTATCACTCGTAGATTTCCATAATTGATTTTTGAGTTTCGGATCCGAAATTTTAAATCGATGAATTAGGTATTCACGAAGTAGTATTTTATAAGAAGATTTCTCTACTTTGATTCTTTGTTCATCATCGGGTAATCAGATTCAGAGAGGATAAAAATAGATTTTATTTTATAATTAGATTATCTGACTAAAATTTTTACAGGTTTGACCAACAAAGGAAAATATTTTGAGAAAGATGAAGAACGAAGATGACTAAATCAAAGGTTTGTCCCAAAATAATTCTTTTCTATCACCTCAAATTTTGAGAATTATTTATGAATATAGTTCTAAAAATTCCCTTCTTCTATGTCTCTATGTTTCAAAACATGTCGTCGAGTTTTTGAAGTAACTAATCTACAATGCGATGACACAACATCACTACATCAGATAAGTATTCAAAAATAATCTTTTATATCAGTTATCAAAAATATGTCAATATAATAAGACGACTCAAAGTTAATTTGTCTTCAATGAATGAATGTAGGTAACATAGAACATTCACAGATTGAGCATTGCGAAAATATCAGGATTTTGGTTCCTACATATATGTAAAACTGAAACACTCACAAAGATGAGTATCTTCAGTCAATCATAATATATACGTAACTATGTATATTTCAGTTTATAAGTCAATCGTTTGACTAATTTCTATATCTCATTTAAAAAGTGTAGGTCTCAAATAACATGTGAGGAGATAGAAAATAGCGATTCAATATAGAAACCTTAGATTTAAGAAAAAATTACTCAGATGTTACAGAAAAGTTGGAATATTACTAGCATATTATACATTTTTTAAAAATTACTTAGATATTTTATGCTCTTGTGTAATTACAATTAACACTCTTGATTAATTTGCGATTTTTAAATTAAAAAATGATTAATAAAAATTAGTTTAATCCATGTTATTAAGATAAAAAAATTAAATCCACATCATTAAACAACAGTTATGTCATTAATGATCAAAAACAAGGAAAACTGAATCATTCTCTTTTGTTACAGAAAAAAAACCTCTCTCTCTGTCTCGGCGATTCCGGAGTCGAACCCTAATTCCGCCATCGTATCGTCTCTTCCAGCTGCTTCTCTTATCTCCATCGCATTTTGTCTCCTTTTTCACGAACTCGAGTGGGGACTCTTCGTTTTCGAGAGTGGACTCTTCGTTTTCCATTGCTGAATATCTCTCCTTTTTTCACGAACAAACTTGCTCTGATAAGTTCGAATCTTTTTTTTTGAGTTTAAACTGTTTAATTGCAAGTGATTCCCGTGATTTAAACGGTTTTCCGAAAACTATCGCAGTGATATTAAGGGTTTTTATTGATGCTTATTACAGCTGATTTTCGCCATCGTTGATTTACATATGGTGGCTAATTTGTTAGATCTATTCGATTTGGTGTCTCTGGTTTATCAATGCATATGTGACTGAGTTTGTTTTATATTGCTACTGAGTTACAGTTTGCTTTACGGCTGATTTACGGTTTATAAATGCATTTGTGGCTGAGTTTGTTTTATGGTGTGGCTGAGTTATGATTTATACTCTGGCTGATTTAACTTTCTTATCAGATGGCTAAGGTTATTTCTGAAGAACAAGCAAGGGATTACCCTCCAAGACTTTATGCATAAGGGGAGTCTAATCTGGAGAATAGATCCACTAACCACAATTTTAAGATGGCAGATCTCCCTAGGATTAGAAAATCAATAGGTCAAGATGCATGGGATCAAATGAAGGAGTTACCTATTGGAATAGTTGCTAAGCTATCTGACAGCCAATTCACGTGGTCTGGTAAGACTACACTCTATCTTCTATGTAGACAGTTGAGAATACATAAGAAGGAGATTGGGTGTCTCGTCGGTGGTCAACCTATCAGGTTTGGCTTAAATGAATTTGGTCATATCACGGGTTTAAACACAGATCCAATGCCTACAGAGATGTTTGAACCTGAAGCTGACTACATAACATTCTTCAGAAAATTGAATGTGCCTGGTGGGGAAGGACCAAAGTTAGATAAACTTAGGGCAGGATTATCAGTGTGCCGGACATGGCCTCCTTAAAAGCGTAAATGGTTGGGGCTGTTGCTTCTTCAAGCCATTGGTATTTATGGATTGCATCATAATTCTAGATTACCATTCGAAAGTGCAAAAAGAGTTTTTGATGATGAAGCCATCAAGACTTATCCATGGGGTCGGTCAGCACTTGAAACTCTTGTTGATGCTCTAAAGATGTTGAGGCCTATAGGAAAGTCGTATACCATTAGTGGTATGGTTTACGTGTTACAGGCTTGGGCGTATGATTCAGTCAAATGCTTTGGAGAGCGATTTGGGAACGTAGTCAATAATGGTGAGATACCGTTGTTTCGATGGGGTGGAAACCGTACACGTTCAACAATGGAATCAACCGTTGCTGAAGATATCATAATGTATGGT